TGCTATCTCTCTGTTCATTCATACGTCAGGGATTCTGTCGGAGGACATGCATTTAGAAAAAGGTATATTTAGCTCTTTAAAAGAGATCATGATCCTATTAATCTACTGAGTAGCAGCCATGTAGAAAGACCACAATTCATAAAGAAACTGTATTTTAATTTCACTTTTTAGCCAAAACATCTTACGACCAAACAGATCTTGAAATAATGCAGGAGACTCAAAGATAAAGTAGAAAGATGTACAACGTGAGCCTGCTGGAAAACAAACCATATGTCCAATAATCTTTTCTTTTCGCTTCTTAGATAATGCAAGCTCTTAAAAGGAATTCACGTAAAAAAAACTCAGAAGGTTAAGAGAAGTGCGTGAGCAGGCATTAAATATTAAGGGGCGCCTGGGTGGCTCAGTCGTTAGGCGTCTGCCTTCGGCTCAGGTCATGATCCCAGGGTCCTGGGATCGAGCCCCGCATCGGGCTCCCTGCTCAGCGGGAAGCCTGCTTCTCCCTCTCCAACTCCCCCTGCTTGTGTTCCCTCTCTCGCTGTGTCTCTCTCTGTCAAATAAATAAAAAAAATTTTAAAAAAAAAAAAATATTAAATGCAAGTTCTGTTCATGCTGTGTTCCAACACCTATAACCATTACTGCATGTCTCTTTTTTCCACCTTGCACAAATGAAAGGACAAAATAGATCTTAAGCATTATTAAATTGCAAAGAGCACAACACACAGTCGTCATGCTGTGTATCTCCAGATTCCCAATGCTCTCTGTTCTAGCAACACAACGCCTACAAACTGTAAAAATAATCACTGCCGAAGCTACACTAGGTGATTACATAAAATTTCTTCTAAAAAAGCTGGGGGAAAAAAACCATTTAATCAGGAATAACTAAGGTAAAAACTCTGCTTACCTCGTAGAAAACGGTTTCACTTTTGTGGATTTTCTTTTACAGCATGAAGCCCAATGACTAGCATGGGCTATGCTCCCGGGAAATTTCACAAAGCAGCAAATTATGTATTGTCTTCAAATGACTCCTCTTTTCAAGCGGATTTTACAGAGTAAAAATTTGAAATTTCTGGGCTCTCTGACATATTTCAAAAGGACAAAACTGTTTCAGAGATCCACTGAAAGACCCTTGCAAGGTAGGAAGGAGAAAGGAAAAGTCGACAGTGCCACCGAGAAACTAGAATCCAAAAGAAATGCTCGCATCCTTAGCTGCAGAGAGTGTTTAAAGATTACAGTCAGGATTCCCTTCTGGAAAGAAAGGCATCTCTTCCCGTCTGCATAACAATCTATAGACATTTCAGAGTAAAATCAACTTTCCAGACAAGAGAAAAAGGAAACCATGCAAGCATGCCTACATTTGGATCAGAATCCACACCCCTGAGATCAAAGCCCTCGCTTACTTACATGCTGTACATAGAAAGGAAAAGTTCAAAGGAACCTGCTCCCTCTGGGAGAAAGGATTACATCTACGGTCGGCTGTTGGGAAATGAGTAAGACCCACGTTCTCTCACTCTCATCCCCAGGCAATGAAAAAATCCCAAACTGCTGTTCCAAGTCACATTCGCAAGGACGTCCTAGCGCCACCAAGCTCTTCCTCCAAGTCAGCGCCGCTGGTTGGGGAAGCGCACCCCCTTCCTCTGAATTTCCACCCCATGCCGAGCCTGCCGGCTCTGGGGAGACACCAGGTCAGGGCACACTGGGGGACGACAGAGCCACAAAGTGCCACATCTTCAGAGGCAGCTCAGAGACTGGAAAGTGGAATGTAAACCGTATTTCTGCAGAGCCTGCTTATTAGCCCACCTCAAGTTCCCAGAACAACCCAGAAAGAAAGTCTTTCAACCCCCTCACCCAAAAAGAAACTCTTTATTCCTTTCCAAATCCAAACTGTTACAATAGTGCCAGCTAATTGCTAACAATACTGGGGGAAAAAAGAGCCCGCACACAGGAGAGGTTGACAGGGGCATACAAAGAGCTGTGACAGTAATAGGCACCCTTGAAGAGCAAGAAGGCAATCAATTATGAGCCATTTGCAGAAATTGCGGGGCTCTCAAAAGCCCCACTTACAGCTGTGCTTCATCAAGCCAGGCTGCATTTGATTTTCAAGGGAAATTATTCCTTATTTCAAAGTCTAGAATATTATTAGTAAAATATCCCAAACAACTCAGGTTCAACCAGGGTCTAATGTGAAAAGAAGTTAATGACCCCTAAGAAGGCGAGAGGGACCAGAGTGGGAAGCCCGGGAAAGAGAGGCCAGCCTTCTCTCCGGAGCAGTGACCACCTCCCATGGCCACTGTGGGGCAGCGCCAGGGCAAGCCCAAAAGATCCATGCCCAGCACGTGGACACACATCGTCCAATTCCCAAACCACCCCTGGAAAACAGAAAAAGACTCCTTTTAGGTATAACCTGATGTTTCCAGGGGGCTGACAATAACAATACAGAACAAAATGTCTTTTTTTTTTTTTTAGAGCGAAAGAGTGAGCAAGCATGAGTGGGGGGGAGGGATAGAGGGGAGGAGAGAGAGAGAGAGAGAATCTCAAGCAGGCTCCACGCTCAGTGCAGAGCCCAATGTGGGGCTCGATCACACAACCCTGAGATCACGACCTGAGCCAAAACCAAGAGTTGGATGCTTAACCAATGGACAGGCACCGCTGTCTTTTGATTCTTAAATTCAAAACTTTTTCACTAACATACATTCCAATTATTACTTCTCATGGTCACAGATTCTTCTTTCCCAAGGAACAAAGAACGTGTGAACTAACATAACTGCCAGGCATTACACCAGGATTGTTGAGAAATGCCCTGAAGTCCGTTATTATGGACAGATGATCTTCAGGTTTGAAAAAGGTCTGATGATGACGACTCTGACTTGAGAGGGATTGACAGCAGTGCTCACCACGATGATATTCTCTTTCAATATTTTTGTCTTCTGCGTTCTTCAGTATTTATCTTTTTTTTAAAGATTTATTTATTTGAGAGAGAGCAAGTGCACACAAGCAGGGAGAGGGAGAGAGAGAATCTCAAGCAGACTCCACACCCAGCACAGAGCCCGATGCAGGGCTCACTCTCACCACCCTGAGACCATGACCTGAGCCGAAATCAAGAGTCGGACACTTAACTGAGAGCCCACCCAAGAGCCCCCCTTTGGTATTTATTTGCTTTCTCCTCTAACCATTGTAGCAATGAAAACTAAGTTCAATCAGCTCCAATTTCAAGCTCAACTGCAGCTTTTCCTCCTTTCCTCAATTTCTAAGTGCTGTCCAATGTTCATCTGGTAAATGCTTTATTTCGTTATGACAGGCACTGTTAAATGACGGAGTTGGGGATAGCCTTAACACAGTGACTTCTTGCCTATTTATTTTACCAAATGTTAAAATAAAATCTGGAAAAAAGAACTTCCTTTCCTTCTTAAGAACTTTATTGTGGAACTCAAACAGATTACAACAGACATCATCACCCTTAGCAGCATTAGGCTGCCTCACTGGGCCGGTGCTCCTCAGGCATGCTTACCTTAAATAGATAGCTGAGCTTCTAAAGTGTGTCAGAAATATTTACTTTTTTACAGAACTTTAAGACAAAGCAATCAAGACACATCCAGTTGATGCTCTAGGATGCATTTCTTAAAAATATAATAATCACTATTAACTATGATGTCAGGTTCCCAAAAGTAACTAATCCAACAGAGATCGAACACAGGCATCAGACTAAAAATGTGGACAACTTCAGTTTATTAAAAGATACTGCGTCCTGGGGGCACAGCCAGACCGAGTGTTTCGTCTGAGGAATTGGAAAGAAGAGAAGAGAGATTTTGGAGGAGGTGGATCAGGAATAGGGGAGCAATGCAGGGAGAGGAGGAGGAGGGAGGTCGGGCCACCAAAACCCACTCTGCAGTGGGCAGGCTCCAACCTAATCCCCTTCTCATAGCGACCATCAGCCCCGGGTGTGCCACATGGCTGCCCCCCAAAGGGACCAGCCCCTGGTGGTATCAGTCTAACCCAGCAGACTGTACTGTATTTGGCAGAGAGAGCACAAAGCAGGGGGAGCTGCAAAGGGAGAGGAAAAAGCAGGCTCCCCACTGAGGAGGGAGCCCCACGAGGGGCTCGATCCCAGGACTCTGAGATCATGACCCGAGCTGAAGGCAGATGCTCAGCCAACTGAGCCACCCAGGCGCTCCCATTAAGTTGTCCTTAAATACCTGTCAGAGCTTATATATCTCCATTCTTATATTTAAGATAAAAGCAAGGAATTGAAAACAGAATTATGTCAAAATCAACTAAAACTGGACTGTGTGTTAAAACAGATCAGGTGGATCAGACCATTTCTGAAAGGATGTTCGATGAACAATTAAAAATGTAGGGAAGGCATGGACTATCACAAGTGTTGGCGAGGCCACAGAGAAATCAGAACCCTCAGCCACCACGGATGGGTGGCACAGCCCTGTGGGACACACGGGAAAAGCTCCACATAGAGGGGCCACGTGACCTAGCAGTTCCACTCCTAGATGCGTGTCCAAGAGAACTGAAAACAAGGATGCGAACAGATATTTGTATGCCAATCTCCCCTGCAGCATTACTCACAACAGGCGAACGGTGGAAACGAGCCAAACGCCCGTCAACAGATGAACGGGTAAAAAAACACAGCACGCGCAACGGAACAGTATCTGTAGCCTCCGAAAGAAGGGGAGCTCTGACACGCCTCGACATGATGAACTCTGAAAACATGATGCCATGTGAGATAAGCCAGAAACAAAAGGACAAATACTGGTACGCTCACACATGAGGGACCTCGAACAGCAAAGGGCGCAGGAAGTAAAATTTTGAGAGGCGAGCCGGGGTCGCGGTGGGTGGGGGAGCTGTGAATGGGGAGGTACAGTCTAATGGGTACAGAGTTTCTGCTTGGCATGATGACAAAGTTCTGACATGGGTGTTGGTGGTGGCTGTATGACACTGTGAATGCACTTAACACCTCTGCAGTGGGCACTGAAAAATGGTGAAAACACCAAGTCTCATGTTTTAGACCACGACAAAGTGACAACATTCCAAAGATAATTTATCTGTGGGCAAAAAGAAAAAAGGAGGAGAGCAACAGAGTCATTAAACATAACTTTTAGAACACCTGAGCATAGACTGTCCTTGTCAAACTGTCCTAACATACTTCGCTTGGAATAAATAAGGAAACTATTTCCATTAAGGCAAAAAAAAAAATAGGTTTCAGCGGGTGGACTGAGGGACGGGATAACCCCATCTCCTTTCCCCACTTCGGGTGAAAGGGGGGATTCATGCTTGTCAGCCAGGTTCTTCTTTGGGATCTGGGACAGCATCTTACCCCGAACGTCTGTCCTGTTCTCTCCCCGTGGGGGACCTGGGCCAGCGCGCCATCGGTCTGACTCCTTTTCAGGCCAGTGGTGACGTCAGGGACGTTGCTGAAATCTGCATAAAAAGTGACAAAAACACACATAAAAGTGAGTTTGGCCCTTTGCAGAGAATCATGGTGACTGGTTTAAGGGTTCAGACAAAGAGAGGGAGGAAAAGCCAGAACGCCAAACGGCACCTCACCACCACCGAAGGGTCTCCTGCAACAGACCCCGGCTCCCGCTAACGAAGAAGCCACGTCTCCTGCCGCTCTCAGTCAAAGGCGACCAGTGACCAATCAAGACAGTGACTTCAGTGCCTGTTGCTGGGCAAACTACACTTCACTAACCTCTGATCTTAAAGAATTTATTTAGACAAAGAATCAAATGGCAGTGACCATCGTGGGTACTTCCCTCTTTGGGGAAAATCACCAGGGAAATCTTGGACAACCAGGGATGCAACAGCATGGACCCTTATTACAACCCACAACTTGCTCATTTGATGGCTTAACTTTCCATTTTCTGACATCGACCACAATTTTATCCTAAACTGAAAGTCCCATGAGGAACAGCAAACCTTTGTTAACTTCCAGAGTAAGGGTTAGGAAGTAAGATCAAAGCTAAGTAGAGCTTTTTTTTTTTTCCCCCACCTCCC